CTAGTACCATCGGTCGAAGAAACATCAGTCGAAGAAATATCAGTCGAAGAACCATCAGTCGAAGCACCATCGGTCGTAGTACCATCGGTACTACCAGTCCCAGTAGTATCACTAACGGTCGAAGCATCATCAGTAGTACCAGTCTGAGTTGTAACACTCTCGGTTGTAGCATCATCACCAGTTGTTGTTTCCTGCGTATTAGTAGTTATATCAATTGTTGTTTCTTCTTCTGTTGTTTGATCATCAGTTCCTGTCGTAAGTGCATCAGTAGTACTTTCAGCAGTAGTTGATGCTTCAAGGGTGACATCAGTAGATGTTGCTGCTTCTGTTGTAGTACCATCGATAGTGGTATCTTCTGGACTGGTTCCAGCTGTAGTTGTTTCATCTTTTTCGGTGGTACTAGCAGCAGTCGTTGTTAGATCATCAGCAACAATTGTAGCTGTAGTTCCAGGTGGTAAGACAATTGTTGTACCATCATTAAGTATAACTGTTGCTGCTGCTACTGCACCGGTAGTTGATTCTTCAGTGGTACCTGTACTTGTGGCTTCTATATAGCGTATGCGTGTGTGTATATATGTTAGTTAATAAGAAGAAGAAAGAAAATTTTAGCAGTACAAAAAAGCCAGCTTAATTTTATAATGTTAGAAGACAAAAAAAAAAGAAAAATTAAAAAAATCTTCTACAAAGCTTACCATTATCATTTGTACCTTGATCAGCTAAAATGAAAAGAAAAAAAAAAAAGAAATAATTAACTCATTATTCAAAAACAGATATACAAAAGAAACAAAAACTTTTCAACAGACAAAGCAAACAAGAATAGAAAGATTAAAATAAACAAAACAGAAGTCATGAAACTCGATGTATTCTTTTATGTATCATTACTAGACTTAGTAGAAAAGTTTTTCGATCAAGTATTAATAGTTTTAAAAGAGTAGTTTCAGTTATATCTGTTGTCATTTGTGGTACATTGATACGATCGTTTTCATAATATCAATGGCGATTCTGTATTTTGACCAATAGCAATTGTGGTAATTGTTGTGGTTGGTATTCTGGTTGTAGACGAATGGTTTGACGAGTATCGACAAGTGCTTTTTTTTTACAATAACAATTTATTATTACATTTATCATAATTGAACTTATCAGAACTATCATTATATTCAAGATATTTATTCCATTAGATAATATATTTTTTTTAATCATCTTTAGAAAATTAAGTTCCTTCCGGACAACTATCGCCTTAGAGTAGAAGAAAACAAATAGCAAAAAAAATAGAACATGAAGAAGTTCATCATTAAAATAAATCATAGGAAAAGAATAGTTGACAGATATTTACATATATGATTTATAGGAAAAGTTAAAATAATAAATTGTTTTTATTGACATTAACTTACGTTCAGCGTCTTGTCGTCTATACCTTAACCTTGTGTCGAGTCTGGCGGAGGCACTCTGATGTACAAAATTTGTAATTTAACTGTTTTATAGAATATAAATAAAAGATTTTCTTACTTGTGATATGGATATACTTGCCATAAAACAAAAACACAGCAATAATCCTGTGATAATTCTTAAGTCCATCCCGAAAAAAAAACTAGGATCGACAATTTTAAATAAATATTAAGAGAATACTATCTGAAAAATTGAAAAAAAGAAATATATATATATATATATAAAGACCAAGCTTTTATTTACATACACACTATTTATTATGCGTCATGTGGTATACTAAAAAAAGAATCCATTTAATTTCCATAACTTATTATGACGCAATTCTCTTAACTATCTAAGTTATTCTTTTGAGACAGAAAGAAGTATTAGACTTCATCACAGATGCGTATCAAATATAAACAAATTCTTTTAGAGGCCGTATCTTTCTTTTCATAGATCATGATACGATCTTCATACACACACATATCATATATATGTATATACATATATTATCTATTAACAACTTTAAGACACAATAAAATATATAAAGAACAAGGTCCAAAATAATAATTAACAAATATTTATATATAAGAAAAAAAAAAAGGCGTATTTTGAAATTTTTTTTTTTTTTACGCCTTTGTTATCTATTAATTATTACTTACTTTAGCTTTTCTCCTGAGGGAAAGTAAACGAGAAATAAATGTGTAAGTTATATACTAATACGAGAGACGAATGGTTTTTCTAACATATACACAAGCAAGTAGTCAATACCGTGCGAGTCGTGTCTGTCGTTTGTCTAGTAAAGAAAAAAAAAATTATTTTTTTTTTTTCTTCCTCGTTAACATTACCAACAAAACTAACGACCAAACAAATAAACATCTAATGCTAGAAGCTAGAAAAAAAACCGAATTAACTGTCTGACTGTGTTAGTATTTTTTTCTCTCTGCGGTAGTTATTGTATGGAGTAATAAATAGTAGTGAAAATCCCACGACTATAGACCGCAATAGTAACATCTTTGCTTTCATTATCTTTCTTTCTTTTCTTTCTTTTCTTTACCAATGATAAATTATCCAAAATATTATGTTTTACAGCAGCTACATCAATTACTAGCAAAATGACAAATAATACCATCAGAGGGGGGGATGTATCAGTTATCTGATCATTAAGACGAAAATATTTATATATACGTGCATGTATTTACTATTCTTATAATCATAAATGGTGTAGTAGGTTGAGTATTTTATTTTTTCATGGAGGAAAAAAAAATTGGAAATAAGATTTAGACCATTTAAGTATGTAAAGGAAACTAGATTGTTTTTTTTTTAGACAATGTAATTCGTTCAGTATCAATTGTCTATCATCATTGTGTCAGTAGAAAAAAAAAAGATAAGGAAAATCTTCCGATTCTATTAACTAAGGAAAACTTACTACATTAGTATAAGTTAAGGTACTCTATATCAACACTTATATTTGTCTTCTTTAATCTTTTTATCACATCATCCATGCTTTTCTTTTTAAGTTGCTATAAAGTATATATAAAGTAACAATAACAACAACACTTAATAAATTGAGGGACAACGGACACAACAAGTAAAGAAGAAAGAAAAGACTATACAGTCATATATACATAGAAACCTTTAAATAACAGTAAAAGTAGGCGATACTATTTCAAGATATACTGATTCATTGTAATTGTTACTCGGTGGGTGTTACTAAATAACGAAAAATCTACTCACTTCAATACTAAATTCTTTTCTTGTTCTTTGTTCAATTATGTTTTAACATGTATACATATGTTTTGTATATGTTGATCAATCATCATTATAAACTTAATAAGATGCATGATGTAGTAGACTTCTTATGATGGAATTTGCCAATCCATTACGATCGACAAGGACATGACGATTGTTCAAAATATCTACTTCTTTATATGTTACAACAGACACGCATCACTCTTCTTTTTTTTTTTCTCTCGATACTTATTTCTTCTTGACATACAGCCGCAAACCACGGGGACTGCATTAATACAGAAACGAGAGCGTCAATAGCAAATGTTTACTGCATAAAAAAAAAAAAAGAAAAAGAGAAGGTCGATTTTGCGTTTTTTTTTTCATCACGACCATCATATTCCTTTATTCAAAAGATCGATTCTTATTGACGATCGAGGGATGCCTATCAACCGAGAAAACAAAATTTCTTACTGAGATGCCTATTTTTTTCTCTCTTTTTTTTTTCGTTTCTCTATCTCTTCTCGTTATGCTTCAACTTATACAACGAAAATATCAATCGCTAGTAATTGAATGTCTTACTAAATATTTCTATGATGCTTTTGCATAGTCTATCAAAACATTTTGATTGAGTAAAACGAGAAGAACAGTATGTAAATAGTTTTTTTATCGGATTATGGCATTGATCATCTCATGTTTGTTATTTTTCTATAGATTTCAATCAAAAAGCAAACATTTATATATACATGAGATATTAAAAAGAAAAAATTTGATCTGCGCACAAAAAAAGATAAAACAAAGAGACTTGATTGCTCATTATTGAAAAGTAAAACCATTTTCTTTCGAATTCATGCGATACCAATGACCTTGGTTCTACATATCTCGTTAATAAAATGTCCTGATATGCAAATTCCAAAATGATCTTTTCTCTTAATACAAAAAAAATATTTCAATTGACCTATGTTGCATTATCATTAATTATTTATTTCATCGGTTTTTCCTTCTTTTTTTTTCTTGTTATACAATACCGAAAAAAAAAAGTCACATGTAGAAATTGCTCAAACTAATAATTGTTATCATTTGTTCTTGACCTTCGTTAAAAAGATAAAAAAAAAAAAAGAAAAGGTACACATGGTTTATACATACGCATACAAAACCTTAACTCTACAAGAAAAATGTTAAGTTCGTTTATTTTACATATATAATTAATATTCAAATAGGATATTTCGAACTTATGGATATACATTTATAGATGTATACGAAACTTGTCATCAGAAGATTATAACTGTCTCATGATGTCCCATCAATCAGTGTCACAGAGACAAAATCCAGTAGGCGATAGATAAGACAAGAATATGTTGATGCTGCCCATCATCAAACTGTTTTTTTTTCATAATTGCCACTATCACTCACATTTGCATATAAAGAAACCTATTGTCTCATATTACTTAGTATACATACTCGTTTACAACAATCAACTATACGACCTTGAAACTGTATAGATGAACAAATGTAAGTGTGTTGTATGTATATAATCTTTGAAATCCTTTCAATATCTCGAAACAAACAAGCTTACCTTCGATATATTTAACTAGAATAAACGAAAAGTACGACATACATCAGCAACTGTGACCAAAAAAAAAAATTGGAGATACCCCAAACGTATATACAAACATGCATACATACACATACAACATACACACGTTTTACTGTGTTTATATCAGCATCATTATACGTCGCTGTGTCGTCAGCTCTCTTCGTTTCTTTTTTTGTGGTTGTCTATCTATGTGTATATGATGTGTATATAAAGGCTGTTTTTTTCCTTTCTTGCTTATATTAGTCTGATAGGTTTTTTCGGGCACACGTAAAATGCGAGCGATGAAAATCTAGTTAATGTATGAGTCTTTTTTTTTTCAAGCTCGATCTTTTTCCTCATTGGTGATTGCGTTTATTATCATTCTATTTTAAGGTGACTATTAAAAAAGCCTAGAATACAGATTTTATTATATTGAGAAAAAGGAAAGAGAAAAAAATTGATATGACTTGTTACTTAATTACGAATATTTTCAATGAATAAGATATTTATAATAACAAATATGTTTTTTAGTGATGATTACCTGTACACAATGAAAGAATAGCTATGTATAATATGTATATTGAAAATACATATGATAAAAACAATCGTTTCTATGGTAGTCTATGGATGTACTCGAAAAAAACGTACAATATATTTGTTATTAAACTACAAATATAAACAACAAAATAGAATTTTTTTTTTTATTTTAAAATGAATAGAGATTCTTTTATTGCGTCATAAAGAATTGTTTATCATTGATGAATATATTCTTCGATGAAAGATTTTGATTTTTGTTTTTCAATCTGATCATCATCTTTAGGCCATCTATTAATTGCTAATGGTTTTCGACGTAAATGTTCTTGATGATGCTGATGATGTTGATGACGATGACGATGAGGATGAGAATTCATTCGACTGACAAAAAAAAAATATTATAATCAAATAAGAATAATCTTAAAATTTCTGAGTAGAAACTATACTTATAATGATCATGACTATTATTCTGTTGTAACCATGACAATTCAAGAGGTCGTTCATTATGTGGACTCTTCAGTTTGTTATGTTGTTCTTTTGGTGTTGGCAATTTTTTTGATAATTCAGATTCTAATTCATATTGAGAATCTGAATCATGAACTGTATTGGATACACTTGATTCGGGTTTATAATTATTTACATATGTTCTAATGGGGCGGAAATATTAAAGTTTATTAATACTAATTTGATCCTCTTACTTTTCTTCTTTTGCCGCTTTGTTACCATTATTCCCCATCGATTTTTCGATCTCAAGTGGCTTGTATGTCTTTTGAAATTTGCTTTTTCTTTTTCTTTTTTTTTTCGAAACATACTATTTACATAAGAGAAAATATGAGTTATTAAAAAGAAAAAGAATGGATCTATATATATGCTGATTCCATTAGTTTGAAGTGCTTCACTTGAAAAATATGAAATCGATCAACGAACATGCTCATCAAACTTTGTCGGTTTGAAGGTTAGAAAAAAAATACATTATGTATACATAAAGTATTTTTTAAGTAATAGATTAAGTTAACAGAAGAAATATTCTGCATTATTCATTAAAAGCATTCACCCATAAATGGAAGGTCAATAAAATAAAAAAAATTTTTTTTATTTATCTAGTGAAGTTGAAGAAAGAAAATCTCATAGGATTATCTGATAAAATTATAATTTAGTTTCATAATTCAATTGAATAAATGAATATACGAAATAAAATATCGTTCAAAATGATATGATTATATACAATGATTAAATTAATTTTCTATCCTACCAAAACAATCCTGAATAAAAAAAGAAAAAAAAGAAAATTTTTTCGCCATTTTGATATGAATAAATATTCAAGATTTGCCTTCAGTTATGTACTTACATCAAACAATAATCTTCAAATTTCGAAACATTTTCAATATATAATGTCTCAAAGCAGACACTTGTTCTTATATGCACGAGTAGACTTATCTCGATTATTAGCGGAACTTGAAGAAATCTTTAACTTCGTCTGAACAGCCTTGATTGAAGATTTGTTAATAATGTAATCAATCGAATATCTAGAATCAATAGACTTTGGTGTTTCTTTGTTAATCCATCAATCAACATTGTTGGGATCCTATAAAGTCGACAAGCAATAAAACACTTTTTTTAATGTTTCAATAAAGAATCCCAATAATCTTCGAGAGTTAATGGACAAGAAAAACTAATGTTTGTCAAACTTCTGAAGGTCGTCCTACATACAATACGTCTCTCATAGTGAATTTCCTTTAGCCAACAGACACAAATTGTAACTTTCTATGCTTCATATTTACATTTACTCTAGGAATTCTTTAAAAATAAGATTTATTTTACTACAATTAATGACTCAAGGACACATTTGAGAAATTTTCCGATTTATACAGTCAAATATCCTTTGTGTTGTCATTGTTGATTCAGTAGTGATCAAACAACGATAATAATTAATATTATTTATTGATGCCATCAAATCATAATGCATTCCAGCATTTCCTGGTGGTGGAATTAATTCGATAAGAGTACGATTTGCTTTCATAAATAGAACATGAGTTAAACCAGCACCATGCATACCAATAAATATATCTGTTTGAATGATAGTATTTAATTGTTCTTTAATAGCTAATCCTTCAAAATGATTAATCTTAAAATTAATATTTGAATATTTTGAAAAT